TGGTAATTCAAATAAATTTTTCTCTTTCCAACTACAGTAGATATAGCCCACCAGCCCACAGTCTTCTAAAGAGAAAGGCCATCCTTTAGTGTTGCTAGCACCATTTCTCTGGTAAATAGCATAAACAAGTGCTTATAAGAAGTCTGAATTTTGTACAAGCAATCAAATTCACATTCACATGAACAAGTGCATTGCAGAAATGGGTGTATTATTTTATTGAACTATCCTGATGCTATAAAATTGAGCTAAGGTCCCCTGGCTCTCTTTGGAAGTTAAAAGAAGTGGTGCAAGACTTCAACAGTAGGAAAAGAAATAAGATTTATGCCTGTAGGATTCTAGAGCTACTGTTCTCAGCATCAACACTACCTGAAGTCTTCTAACATTTGGTGTTCACACACATATACACAGACAGAGAGAAAGCAGAGAGTAGAAAGATATTTACTTCATGTGGGGTCTAAGAGTAAGATTTCAGATGTATCTGTTACTTCTCAGAAAGTTACAAGGCTGCTGACAGAAGGAGCTTTACTGTGAAATACATCAATACTATTGGCAGAACATATATCAGATATAGCAATCATTACAGTGTAAAAAATGTGGGAACAGCTCAAAAAGCTCTTCACTCAGAAGATTATTTTATAAAAGCAATGATTCACTAAACTCAACAAACTGTTCTTAATATAAGTACGATAGCTGAAGTATTCAACATTCAACCCAAAATTTCCCAAATGTTGACTGCAATCCCTCTTCATAGAAGGCATTTATTTCTAGAAACATTACGTATTATAAATACCAAGTAAAACACCTATAGAAAGTCTCAAACAGGGCTATTTGTCTACACTTTTATCACTTCTCTTTCAAGAACAAGTACTTTTTGAGAAAAGTTCAGCACACAGACTCAATTGCAAGACTTTATGGTACACATTCAAGCACAGAATTTCTGTCAGTTTTAACATATTACCTCTGTAAAGCACAGAGGAGATAAACTATAATTATTTTAGACCCTCTAAGGGCCCACGTATTTACAGGCATGGTAGAATGTTCAATAAATATAAAAAAAGATACAGAAAAACTGGTGCAAAACAATGTACATATGCAGTTTCTACAGTTATAAAGTAGCATAGGCACGTTCACACTTTGCTTAAGCCAATATGAAAAAAATATTTGCTTAAGTCACAGATGAAGTTGTCTATTCTATCTGAGTTTAACCTGATTTTAAAAACATTCCTTAGTTTAAAATTGTGGTACTGTGTGTAACTCTTCAGTTTCATAGGTCACTGAGGACATTTGACCTTAATATGCTTGTTTTTAGTAAACTAAAGATTGTTGTAGCAGATATATTACACTATTTTTCATTTTGATCAAATTTAATCATTACTGGGACTCCACATCATTAATACAATTAAACTAAGGAATTAATTTGCCCTCTTAATAACAAACTTTTTTTTACTGTTGGAGATTCATGCTAGTGCAGCTTCCAGTGCCTGAGTTGGTTTAGTTCCACCTGTGAGACAACTCACCTGCACTGGCTCATCCTCTGTGTAAATCAGCCCACAGCCAAAGTCTTCAGGAAGTGTTTTAACACGACAAATCACAAAGAAGACAAGAAATTATCATTCAGAAGAGTAAGAAGGGCAAGACTAGAAGAAGAAGGTATCCCAAAGTTTCAAAATAAAGATCTTTATTTCAAAATAGTGTTTGAGAATAGCACATCCAGTTGATACAAAAAACAAATAGCAAGTTACCATTTTTTTTAAATGGGCCAATTTGCTGAACTACATACTGAAACACTGTACAAGTTCACAAGAACTATTATAAAGCAGACAGTTAAGTTCTGATGTTTTAATTTTATTTAAACTGTATTTTCACATTTATCTCCTTCTAATTCTGCTTGTTTTAATTACACAAGGTGCTTACAAGATTGTTTATAGTGAAAATTACAAAACAGAATTTAAGAGTATAAATATAGTAAGGAATTCCTTAAACTACATACTAATATTCTCTGCTACAAAGATACATTTTACAAAAGTGCTAATAACTCAATAACTCTATGAAAAACAGTAGCAGATTACATTTAAATGTCAAAAAATAACACAATTCTTATTTTTTTTTTCAATTGTCCATAATACTTTGATACTTCTAATCACTATGAGGATTAATAAACACTATTTTCACTTCCAAGTATTTCACAAATGAAGTGGGAAAAGAAATAATGTATCTGCATATGTGTGTTTCTGCATGTATGTGAGAGTCTGTACACATATGCATTAATGCATGAACAAAGTTATTGTAATTATTATTTGTATTTTAACAGTACAGGGAGTAAATGCCTAATAGTAAATTAATTTCCCAGGTTTCAATAATTTCAATAAATCATAAAAAGCCTCTGAGTTCCTTTCAAGCAAGACTTTGTGTGGAGCAAACTGCATAGATAAACTTTTGCACAGAAAAAGGACTCCTTAGGTTGATATTTTCTTTTTTAAAAAGACATACCATCCTGTGGTAAACGTACTTTTTACAAACATTCACTATTCACTAAAAGCTTCATATGCGAGTGTGCAGTTTTCCAAGCACAAAACTGGAACTGCTCCAGCAGGGCACATATGTCAGGACAGGACATTTGACTGGAAGTCCTCTTCTCTGTACCCAAGCAGAATCAGACAAGAAACAGCCATAATTAACTTCTCTGTGACCAGAAGGACATGAGGAAGGACAGTTCACAGTGCTGCCTAGCCCAAGAGAGCATGTCCCTACCACCATGTTGTCAACCATAGACTTACAATGGGCAAAGCACTGTCTAGACTTTTTCCAAGGTGCATCAAGTCCCAATGCTCACTGTGATGCCCCCAATTTCCCCAGAGGCAGCATGCCTTACAAAGGCAAAATGCCTCCAGGCACTGCCACTCAACCAAGGCACCTCTTCCCCCTTCCCAATGTGGTTTAGACTTTTAGGAGTCATAATTGAGCCCCATGGGCCTGATTCTGAGCACAGGGAATTTATCAATTTAGGGATATGATTCCTTATTAGTCTGCCTATTACCATAATATATCTTTGTGCTCTCTAGCTCGTGCTAAAACAATGGAAAATTCTGACACTAATGGAAACGCACTTAGTTTATGCAACACAGATCTGAATCTGGCCCATGATAAGAATAAAATCTGCTAGTAAATATCAAAACCCCCCCAAAAAACAGACAAGAAACCCTCTGAATAAATCTGCATTGCATCAGAATACACCACAATATTGCAGATGTTCAGGCAAAACACAACACCTCCCAGCTCCCTAGTGTAGTTGAGGATTCAGCTATGTTACCTTCAGTGATAACGTGCAGTAGTAGGCACTACTAGTCAGTGTACACATGGAGAAGCTATGGTCACTATCAGACCATTTGTTGACTAAGCTTCACAATCCTGTGATCTTCAGCTCATCACATTTGCATAGATTGAATTAACTACAGTGGAAAGAGACATTTATGGTCTATTCACTCAACAGAATCATGCTATTGGCTGCTGTCAAATTGTAAGAAGGCCTAAATTTTTGAAATTCAACAATCTACAAATGCAAAATCTGGAGTGTAGAAAGATAGGAAAGTTTAAGTATGTGAGATCAAGATGTGCAAGTGGCTTACAGAGAAAAGTTAATGAGCTATACGCATGGAGGGGAGAAACCAGCTGATGGTAAAGAGAATGGATACCATGATTCCCTAAAACAGAGAATATAAAAAACTCATTTATGTGTTGGATCAAATTCATTTCACATATCAGAGACAAAGATATTTCTCAGAAAACCTTCACGGTATAATAAGGAGAAAGTTGCCCACCAGATTCTAACTTGTATTTTTCGAACATTTTAAATCACAATCCTTTTACTTTTAAAGGATATAATAATTATTTTTTTTAATATCCTTTTTTAAAAAAGTTATTTAAATGTAACACATTAAATGTATCTGAAAATAAACTTTTTTGCATTTTCTTTTTTAAATTCAATTTCTTGATCAAGAGCTTTTAATTTTGTCTTTACACTCTGTTTGAATTCTGCCATCCTCTGTGGATCCCTCTCACACAGTGAAGAAATAAATACTATGTTATGTGATATTGGCCCTAAAGCCACAAATACTGACAGGTATGTACATGTTTAGATTCTTAAGTTAACTTCCAATAATCTCAATTGTATAGCCAAATTTTGAAGATTTAATCTATTATTCTACTAGTCTAAGGATCTATTTCATGTCTACACAGATTTCCAATGTTTCTTTCTAAAAAGAAACATTTCAAGTAACATTAGTACTGAAGTAAAATGTAAATTCTCTATTCTGTCTTGATTGATAAAAATGAAATCTTGGTACTCTAGTCCATGGCAAAACTTACATTGACTTTAGTTTGCCAAATGTTCCCACAGTATCAATACTGACAATGGAGAAATACCAGGAATCTCTCTCAAAACAAAGAGATACTCAAAATAAAAGAAATACTGCCAGCGTGACCACTGTTGCAAAACAATAGTAGACTCCTGATGCTGACTTTTGAACTGCAAAGTTGCTTTCATTCCAAAGAGACTGAAATAAAGACTTCACCTTTCCAAATGCATCTAAAGGCATGTTATGGAAGGTGGCATTGAAGCTTTTTAACATTGAAGCAGGTAAAGGCAAATACTTAAGGCTTTGCTCTGTAGCCTCTTCTCTGACCAAAACTTGTCTCTCAATTCAAATGGCAATTCTGCCCAGAAACAGCCTGTGATATCAGGCCTATAATTCAGTTTCAATAAAGCCTTCCACTTGTAAAGCCAAAAGAAGCTGGAATGTAGCTTGAGCTTCACATACAAAACTATACAGTTCATGTTAGAATACAGATTTGAGGATTGCTTTTTTTTTTTTTTTTTTTAAAAAGATATTTATATATAGGGAATTAACAGTGCAAAACTAGTCAGTTGTGTGAAAATCTTACCTTGTCTTTCTTCAAATGTATTTAAAGAAAAGCTCTCCAGTTTTAGAAAGAATACAATAAAAAGGGATAAATATTTCAGGATGGGAAGCAGATCCCACAGCATTCCATGCAGATCTCCAAGCAATCTGAAGATTCACAACATGCGTCCATTATGCCACAGTCCATATCACACGGGCAGTTACAGTCATCCCCCACCTCGTCCCCACAGCAACAGCAGCAGGCCTCCGACGTGCAGATGCCACAGGGTGCTTGTCCCAGAACAATGTTACAGAGGGTGAGAAACTCACAAAACAAGCAAGCCAGGATACAGTGAACGCAGCAATCTTCATAGGTAGCAGTTCAGCAGCATATCATGTATAAACAAACAAAACAAACAAACAAACAAGGAAAGAAAAAATAACAAATCATTGATATGCTATTCTAAATTAAGATAAATCACGTTAAATAAGTAGCTGAAAGACAACTGTTCAAACAGACATAAACAAACACCACAAAAAACATGTTTCCCTTCTTCAAGGTCACTTGCAGCCTAACTTGTCTGCAATTTAGTATTGGTTTTGATGAAGTCTCCTTTCCTCACTTCACGTCATGCAAATCCCAAGGACCAAACATCCACTTATATAAGCTTCTCCAGTCATTTATTATGTAAAGTATCTGTATGTAATGTCTTCAATCGTAACTTCTTCTAGCAGGCCCATAAATGATTTTAAAAATATATCGTCTTATGAAGGAAACCAAAACTATTTGCAGCCTCTCCTAGTACAGCTTGCCCTTCAGAATCTGCTTTGTTTGGCTCAATAGTTAGAAGAAAAATAAGGGAGTTGCCATATAATTTTTGCTTTCTTTATAATTTTACGCACACCTTAAAACCAGCGTAACAGTAACTTACATGTGTTTCTGTACTTTGAACAGTTTATAAAACATTCAGTCAAAACAAATATTTTTCTCTTGCCTTTCTAGACAAATCTCTTGGCAATCCTTTTAATGTACTACTTTAATCTTTAATAGAGTTGAAAACTACACCGGAACACAAATACTGTATCTGGTAAGTACTGCTAAATTACACGAGGCAATTGAGGTGGTGTCCCACGAACTGTCAGCAAAAAATATGGAACCAGAAGTGTAAACATATGGAGTAGCTTCAAACAATTGATACATTCATGAGACATGACAGGCAAACAGAAAGACTGGAACTAAATGTGCACCAGTGAAAAGGAGATTGCAGGAGTGAGCAACATACTCAGTTGTTTTCACCCTCCTCCACCTGATGTGTATAAAGCATATGTAATTTGGAAGAGGTAGTTAAAAGAAAGATCATGAAAACTTAAAAATACAAGAAATATTCAGGCTAGAGAATACTGGTCTTTCCTAGCCTCAGCTTTCATTCTTTTCACTGCTTGCAAGCCTTGAACTCCTTTAGCCACAAAGAGCTGAATATTGGAAAAACGTTCTGGAGAAAATATCCTGCCCCACCTCATCTCTTCCCTCTCCCTACAGTCTATCACAGGTATCTGCTATGAGAAGCCAGCAGGAAAGACAGGATACTGAACTATATGGGCATTTAGTCTGACCAGCTACAGACATCATGTTCTTGGAGTTCACAGGCTGGAGACTGCTATCACAGGGGAAAGACTGCACTTACTTGCAATAGCAATACAAGTACCAGGCCTCCTAAACATATTTATAATGTCAAAAATGGTGGAGTAACCATGACAAGTATCCTGATTGATTCAAAGTACCTCTAACATCGCAGAAACTTTGACTGCAGGACAGTGTAGAGATTACTTTACACGAGCACACAAATACTTACAGTAATGCAGCGACGAAGGTTCAGACTTGCAAAATCTGTCCCAAGAAGCAAAGTAACTACCTGTGCTCTCAGCCTGCACTAAACACCACGCTGCTGAGGATTGATTTCTCCTACTTACTACACTACTTGGATCCAAACTTAGCTTGAAACACCTGTACTCTAATGTGGTCACAGTCAGAACATAAGGAATGAACGTTTATGCTCAAAAGAAAAAAACGGGAATATCAGGAAATCAAGAAGGAAAAAAAAAAAGCATTCTCAAAAAACTGTAATACTGTGCAGGAATCAAAACTGAGAGGGAGCCATAGGTAAGATTGAGCTGTTTTTAAGGAAAGCTGTTGATTGTATTAAAAGACTGCTTTTCCCGAAGAAATACTGTCACTAAATAAATGACCTTCACAGAAAACCCAGAAGATATTTGAAATAAAGCTGGGGAGTATCAGTTCACTGAAGAGGACCAAAGCCAGACTGATAGCAATTAATTAGCTGGTTGTCATGGAGATGGTGTTAAATTGGTTCAGGTACAATCTCCTTTCATATTTTCTTTTAATATGAAGGAAAAAGATAAAGAAGCCAAGAGTGGTATCTTAGAAGCCTTCATATTTGAGGAACTGTTGTTTTTACTATTTTGCATCTTCTAAACACAGCTGAAAGAAGCTAATACCACAACAAATATTGTTCCATAAATGTTTTTTCAAAAAAACCACCATCATAAAACTTTATGTGTACCAGTATTGAAAATAAGATGCTCAAACAAAGCTTCCTTGCTTCATGCAGAGACATGTAAAATTGCAAGGAGATAAATAAACATTCACAGGAATTATATAAAATTTTTTGATGGACAAGAGACACAGTTCATGGGTTTAAAAAAAAGACATGCACTCAGAAAACACTTTCTGGACCCACAACAGGACTTCTCCCTCCTAATCTAAAATAACCTACCAACCTAAATCAATAAAAGGAGAGACTGTGCTGATTTAAATAAAGGTATTTCAGAAGTAAAACCCATCAAAAATGGTCCAAGACTCAGAAAGCTATTATGACCATTAGTGATAAGATGAAAACTCTGTGAAGAGTTTCTTTCCATCTTTTTTGCTGACTGAAACCCTAAGAAGATTTATTTACCTACTATTTATTTTTATTTCCTCCTCCCTGGATTGCAAAACTTATTTTCCATTTAGAAAATCTTTATATAACAATTTTACTTAACCTACACAAACACTTACCATAAACTAAAGATACCCTTTACTGCTCTCCGTTCTTGCAATGACTCATTTGTATGATGAACTTGGTAATCTTTGATCTACATTTCAAGGACAAACCTGAAATAATCATGCTTTTATATCCTTCGTGTTATTGACTTTTAATAGCTATCCAGATAGCAATTATTTAACACACGACAAAGCATGCTGTAGCCCCACCTAACCTGCTGAATTTAGAATCATGACTCTAAAGGTCTGTAACACATTTGGATAAAATGGATGGAAGAATAATTTCTTCCATGTATGACTTCTACTTCTTAGCTTCTTATCTACAGAGGTAATTATAAGGAAAAGGAAAAGATACAGTCACAGTTGTTTTTTGTAACAACAAATCTACATGCTACACAAAACTCATACATCCTTCTCTAGCATCCATATTCCTACGATAACCTGTCAGTTCCACAGAAAAAATTATACAGCTAAACCCTCTTCCTTTGGCTGCAGGGTGTCATGATCAGTGAATCACATGAAGGAATCAGTGAAAGACATGAAGGAGATGCTATATAAAAAATATTCTAAATGAGATTACCTCAGGTTTTTCATTACCATGTTGGAGATCACTAGAAGACTTGCACAAGACTCCCTAATAATTCTTTCCTGCTTCCAAGACCAAATAGACTATTTAAAATTACAGATTATTTTAAATTTCAAAGCTATTTTAACATGCTAATAATACAGACTATATTTCCACTCTTTGACCTTACCATATCAAAATCCTAATAGTTTTTGCAGATGACTGAGTAGTGGAACACATTAATACAGCTGGGACTAAATTAAATTTATATATTCGGCAAGAATTTGGAAAAAAAAAGGTAAATTTTATTATCTTAATGTCTGATAAAATCTTTTCTGGAAAACTTAAATGTATTTTAGTCTTTTCTGATAAAGATATGATATAGCACTATTGGTTATGAAACTGTTTTACTGTAAAGGGAGGCTAGCTTAAAATTATCTGTTTATTTATTTATTTATTTATTTTGAGAATTAGAAGTTTTCTCATTCTTTTACCATTGGATATACTAATGCAATTAAGAATCACAGGTATGTCTTCACTAAGGATCAAACTCTGTCTGCCTTGTTCATGATGTAGCACTGTTGAGAAACAATTAACTCTTCCATTTTTGGGCTTCAAGTTTTCAGTAAATACTTTCACAGAGAAAGAAGAAATTATTTCATGTCTCATTATATAAGCCCACCATTAATGAAGCTGAGCTTTTTTATTAGGACTTAGGCACTACACCACCACACCAGTCTCAAATTTCCATTGCTTTTCAGTTCCTCTATTGAACTTTTCTCTAATTAATGTAGAAATGCTGCACAACAGATTGGCAATACACTAAAGTGAGGATGTGGAATATCAAACACTGTACAGAGGTATAGGTCACACAAAAAACCGCCAAACATCTGCCTCAGTTCCTTTATCAAATGTATTTGACTTCATCAAAACAGTATCACATTTGTTGACTACGACTCAAGCTCCCAAAATCTATGCTGAATGGCATAAATTATGGTAGGCTTGGTCTGTAGAAAATGATAGTATATTTTATTAGATCAACTCACAACTGGGGAAAAATACAAGCCTTCAGACACAAAAATTCACCTTTGATTATCCTTTTCATTTTGCCTGGGATGAAAGTTAGACCTGAAGCCAAAAGGGTCAACCCATGCAGCACTTTCAAATACCAATGCAAGTAAAGCTGCTTCCTGAGTTCTTTGGCATACCCCCAAAAGTTACAGATTTGCTAGGACACCTCATCAAAACTGTTAAACAGTGCCAAGGTAAATAGAAACCCAACCAATTTGTCCAAGTTTTTGCTGCTTATATCATACACACACACCCAGCTACTTTGTGCTCATTTAACCAAAGAGTGTATACAGTACATGTAACATCTACTTTAACTGGTTTATAAACAATACCACAGACAATAGCCAGACAAGAAACAGCCTCACGTTGCCTACATACTGTTATTCAAAGCCCTGAGGGGCCCCACTCTGTACCTCATCCCAGTTGTTAACAGTGAGACTCATTTAAGGAAAGAAACACTATCAACAATAAAACAACTTTAATGCTTGTCCATGGCTTTAAACATTTGTACATGAACACCGCTTCTTTATTTTTAACATTTCTGTATACAGGTATTTCCCTGATCATCAATTCCTTTTAAATACTGAAACCTATATTTATTTTATTTAAATTCCCTTTTATCACCTCCTCTTCAATTTTATGAAAAGATGCAGCTCTGTTTAAGAA